TTTGGCTGATTCCACACTGTTAAACTGATCTTGGACCTTGGCAGCTAAGGTTGTGAATTGCGATTTGTCTTTTATACACTGACAGGCTGCCAGGACTGCCCGGGAGCTGGTGGGAGGCTGCTGGGCTGAAATCATGCTACAGCACTGAGAATGCCACTTTCCACTTCTGTTACGGTTACAAATGTACCACGGCTCAAGGGTTATGTTTATTAATCAAGAAAAAGCTTTTTAATGTTGAAGCCTGCTCCCTCACACTGCATCTTGTATTGATTATTTACTGAGGACCCAAATGTTATTTAATTAAAAGCACACCAAACTTGTAACTTCCTTAAGATTGAAGATAAAGGAAATAAAACAGAAGAGAGACAGGTGTGCTCGCTGAGGACTGTACCCACTTACCAGTAACTCAGATTTCTGCCGACGCCTCCCAGGTGCACTGTCCTGGGGCTCCAGGACCATCACTGGCCACCTGCTCCTCGGCCAGGGCAGTTTATCCTCCTGCAGGTGAGGACTGTCAGGGGCTTCAATCTTCCTTTTCTGATCAGCTGACTCTCCAGTTACCTTTTGTTTTCTTATTCGAGTGGAGAAGTGTGTAATTGAGGATTTTAAAACATTCATTTTTACCTTTCCTTGGCAATTTGAAGCTATTTTCCCAACTCAGTTTTCATGTGAGAGGAAAAAACCCCTATCCTATTTCAGAACATAAACAGCTTAACAACCCTTGGATAAGCAGAAGAAAATTGAAACCAGCTAATGTTGCAACAAATATCCAGCATTCTGTGTGGTGCGTTTAAGGTGATAGCCATCTGACCCCCGGCGGGGATGGAAGGATCAGGAAAGATCTCAGCACCAGTTCTTCAAGTTGTGTTTTCTGCACCGAACCTGCAAATGCAGATGGGAAGTTGCAGTTCCCCTTTGGCACGGCACAGGACCACGTGCAGAGGAACGTTCAGCTCCGTGTGGCGCCTCCGTTTGCAGCTATTTGGCACCTTCCTTGTTCCAAGGAGGGTTTTCAAAATAGTGGTCGGCTTAGCAGCGTCATCTGCAGCTGCTCTAAGTCAGCATGTTACCTCCCCTGGACCTGTTTGCTTTTCCGTCTTACCTCTAGTGTGAAATAAAGGCCATGTCAAAAATAGGCAGGCGCCGATATGCAGTTGAGGGACTTTTCTCCTTTTTCTGTACATACTCAGCCTCACACTCAACGCTGCTTCTTACAAAGTGGCTTATTTACATGGAATACTTGGTACCTGTGCTGGAAACCACCACGGACTGGGAGCCTTACAAGCAACAGGAATGCACCGTCTCCCAGTGCAACAGGGCGGCAGGGACAGTGCATAGCGGAGGACAGACGGGCCACTGTGGGCTCTCACCCGTGCGCAATTGCAAGACCCCTCAGGCTCGGGGAGCAACGGGTTTTATTGAACAGACGGGGAAACAGAGTTTCTACGGCCACACATGACTGGCTACAGCACCCTGAGAATGTCCAGAGTGTCCAGAAGTCTCAAATGCCAGGCCTGGCGATGTCAGAGGCAGGTCGGAGGCAGGAGTGGCCAGCCTGGCCTCTGTGAAGTTCTTCAGCTTCCCTTCTTTCTTTGGTGCTCAGCTGCTGCGTGCTGCCTCTTTCTCCTTCCTCAGAGGCCAGGAACAGAGTGAGAGCGACAGTGTCCCTTCTTCCCATGGGTGTCCATGAGTCCCCTGCCCTGCCTTGTCTCCTCTTTCCAGGGCCTCCACCAACAAGTCCAGCTGGCACATTTTCAGTCCTGTGGCTGATTGGGCCATTTACCAGCCAGCTCATGGCTCACACCTGATGGGTCCATTCTACGGCCAAACCCCGTGTCTCTCCAATGCCTGCAGCCTTGGAGGTGGCCCCGGGGCCCAGGGCCTACATGTCCTGGGGCTGTGGAGTGGGGGAACCACAGCTGCTCGCCATCACTGCTAGCCTCTGCCTGCCTACAGCCTGAGCCCCAGTGGGCGCTGGTGATGGGCGGTAAAATGCCCACCACCTGCTGCCGCCTGCACTGCCCGCAAGCAGCTTCTGGGCCCGGGTGCTGGAGCCCAGGGTGGGGTGTGCAGTGGGGTGGGGGCATGTCTCTGGTTTCACTTCTGCTACTTCTAATCAACATTGTCCTGGCAGTTCAGAAAAATTTAAAGGATTAGAAAGCTCAGAAAGGAAGAAATCAAACCACCGTTATTGCAATCAGGGGAGGAGGCAGAACATCCCAGACGCTGCTGGGCGAGATGTGCTGGTTGGAGGCTGAGCTGAGCCAGGCAAGGAGAGAGTCTGTAATGGATCTGGAGCGCTGATGTCAAAGAGGGCCAGAATCTGTCCTGGCAGGAAACAGGCAGTTTAGCACCGCGAGCAACAAGGCCCTGAGCATCGCCTGAAGCGGCAGGAGCTCCGAGTTTTGTAAAGAAACAAAATAACCAGCCGGAGACCTGTTTTGTGACGGCACCACAATGAGACACCACTCATCACACCCTCTGATGTGGGAGAGGGCGAAGCCATGGGGCATGGGGCCAGGGCCTGCTCTGAGATTGCCCCATCCTGCCCCTCGTCACCTCCACCTTTATATGACGCCCCCGCCCCGGGGAGCAGGAGACATGGGCAACCTCCCAGCCCGGAGTAAACCAGACCAGCATCTTGTGCTCTTGGCACCGCAGCCGAAGACGACAGCGATGTGGGGGGCACGTGAAGCCTCTGCACCGTGGCCAGTCTTGCCCATTAGAGCTGCAGTCGGCAAAAGAAGAAGGATAAGAGCATTTGGCAGAGGGCATGAGTGCAGAAGGGAAAAAATGACATGATAGAATGAGAACTTGGCAGAGAGGCTGGAAAGGAAGGCGCTGTGCTGGAGGCCGGCAGCTCGTGAGGCACTAGGTGGAGAGGGTGTTAATTGGTCTGTGGAAGAAAGGCAACTTTTATTTGGCCAGAATTTCTTGGTTACTTGTATTGACTGGCATTGGTTCTATGAGAATTTCTTCCTGAGTAATCCTGTACCTTGGCAAGCAGGTAAAAGGCAGCTTTTGTAACTCTAATTTTAAACATTTTTATAAGGTAAGTTGCTATCAGACTGGCCAGAATCTATGCTTGATTTCTGGATTTCAAAGAGGTGGCCGTGATGCATTACCACTTGATATTTTTCTTTACCAAATATCAGTAAATATCCAGCAGGAACCCGGGTGTTTGCACATCCATGCCAGTAGGAGCAGTGATCACAGTAGCCGGAGGTGGAAATAGCCCAAGTGTCCGTGGACAGGTGAATGGATACACAGAATGTGGCCCATGGAGAGAATAGAATATTACTCAGCCTTCAAAGAGATGGAAATTCTGACACCCGCTATAACGGGATGAAGCTTAGAGGCATGCCAGTGGAGTAAGTCACACACAAATGACACCTGCTGCCCCACAGATGAGGTGTCTGGAGGAGTCAGGCTCATAATGGTGGAACATGAAATGAGGTTGATGGAGGTTGGGGAGCAGAGGAATGGGAGTTGGGTGGAGGGGGTGTGGAGCTTTGGCTTAGAAAGGGAAGAAGTTCTGGAGGTGGAGCATCATGCTGGTGGCACAGCCGTGTGAATGTACCAAATGCCACTGAGTTATACAGTGAAAAATGGTACAATGGTAAATTTTGTATTTTGTGTATTTTTACCACAAAACCATTTTCTAATAGAGGATTATATAGCTTTCATATACTTGTTTTTTAAAGATTAATTTTATTTATTTGTGTATACAAGAACTGGGGTACAAGCCAGAGGTACGGAGGTGAGAGGATTCCCTAGAGACAGAGTGGGGAGCAGAACAGGCAGATCCACTGAAATCCACTGCTGAGGGGAGCAGCGGGGAGACAGGAGAGGTCTGCTGCGCCATGTGGGTAGCTCCCTGGCCGGGGATAGAACTCAGGCAGCAGTGGATGACAATAGCTTCACTGTGCCACCAGGGAGGCCCAGACACTGGTTTTATTGTTAAAAATTAATATCAATAATAAAATACATAATACTGTCCATTTAGGAAGCACTTTGATCATTCTTTACTAACTTCCCCCCCACTGTTTCCACTCAGAATTATCTAGAAAAACATAAACGTGCACATTGGTTTCGAAAGTCATCGTGTGACCCTTTCCTGCCCTTCCCCAAGTTCTGTGGGAGCAGCGAGGCTGGTGGTCGGGAGGAGCGAGGCCATGAGACACAAGGAAGTTGTTTCAAACGAGTGATGTTTGCAGCAGAAGGGTCCAGGCAAAGCTTGAGCCAACCCCCAAAGCTGCTTTATTTCCATGGATCATCTTTTGGGGTGCTGTCTTCCCCAAGTTCACTGCCTGTAAAGTGTTCTTCGGAGGACGGATGTGCAGGAGGCCAAGATGCAGGAGACACCGTAACCCCGCAGGAGGCCCCAACTCCGGACTCGGGAGACCAGCCCCCGGCTGCTCCCTGGAGAAGCAGAACTTAGTCTGCGTCCCCTTGTTCACGGCGCCTTTCTCAGGAATCCTGATGTCCTTTCATACCCCCAAAGTCCTCGTGTCCAAGCGCAGCTGTGTAAGATGGTGTCTGGAGACCCGGGGCGAGGATTGGGCCTCACCACCCTGGCCGCGCACACGGGGTGGGTGGGGGACAGCGCACACGGGGGCGCAGCAGCTGTTCTGAGATTCCCTTTCTCTGAAAGGAAATAGAAGCCCGGCTGGCTGGTGGGCCAGGCAGGAGAGACCTGAGGAGGCGGCAGAGGAGGTGGATCTGGAAGGAGGAAGGGCAGCAGCGGCCCCACGGTGCAGATGGAGAGAGGGTGCGTTGCTGTGGGAGAGCTGGGGCGGACGTCTGCAGGGAGCAGCTCAAGAGCAATCAATCCAGTGGTCCCTGAGCCAGGCCCGGAGCTGGCTTCCAGGGACGCAGCGGTGCTGGAGGGAGGCTGCACCCCGGCCCTTCCCCTCCCCTGGCCCACCCAGGGCCCCTCCCCCCAGCGCTTACTGCTGGGAAGCCGCAGCAGAGGCCGAGGACCAGGGAGCTCCGCAGGAATGCCCCGCTTCATTCCGGGAGAGCGTTTCTGGCTGAGCTCAACAGACACCAGCGGCGCCAGCAAACAGCCCCGCAGAGGCCGCGCTGAGCGCCTGCGGCTTTCCAGCCCCGGGAGCTTAAGATCCTGGCGTCCTGGGAGCAAGGACAAGCGTGAGCCCCACGTAGCTGGCCCCGCGGCTCCCCAAAGAAGCGGTGTGAGCTTCTGGGCTTCGGCTGCCCTGACCAGCGCGCACCGGCCAGCACGCCCTAGCCCCGGCCGGTGCCCACCGCCAGCCCGCAGCGCCCAGCGCGGGGCCCGGGCAAGGCCCAAGTGTGGTCCAGCAAGAAGAGGCCAAGCTGCAGGGCCGGGAGGAAACGGTCGGCGAGGGATGGAATCACCTCTGGCCGGCGAAGAGGGCGGGTGCGTATGAGGGACATCCTCAAAGCACAGGAAAGGCCACTGAGCCCCCCGCCAGCAGTGTCCCCAGCGGGCGAGGACGCGGAGAGGCAGCCCCTCCACCGGGCGGGCGGGAGGCAGGGGGGCGCAACACCTGGAGGACAGCTGGGTGGTTTCTGAAACAGCCAGACAGGCAATTGCCCTGAAAACCCAGGAGCTGCATTTCCGGGAACTGAGGGAAGCAGAGACAGGTCCACAGGGATGTCCACGGCAGCGCTGCCCAGCACAGCCCCGAGGTGGAGCCGGCCCGGCCCACACGGCCGTCAGCGGGGCCTGGATAGGAGCTGGTCCCCGCAGGGCACGCGACTGGGGGCGCCAGATAGGCCGGTGGACGGACCTCAAGGACACGGAGCTAAGGCCGCGAAAGAGCCAGATGCGCGGGACGCCTGTTCTGTGGCTGGATTTGCAAATCTCTAGGCACAGGCCGGTGCTGCTGGGGCCCAGGGGCCAGGGGGCGAATGCAAATGGGCAAAAGGGGGCTCTTGAGGGCAACAGACGGGTCCCCTGAGGACGGTGGTGACGCTTGCACAGCTCTGCCAATTCACCCCAAATCGTCGAGTTGTATCCCTAAAGAGTGGACATCAATGTCCACGGCAGCGCTGCCCTCCACGTCGGTACATCCGAAGAAGTGGGCGGGAGCCTTGGCCGGTGCAGGGGGGCGCGAGCTGGAGGCTGGGCTCGGCCCGGGGCTTCTGGGCAGATGGGGCCGCTCCCTGACCCCGGATGGTGATGAGGACAAGCGACAAGGATGCAAACCTGCGGCGTGGCCCCTGACCCTCCGCAGCATGGCCGCTGCTCACCTCCTGGGGGACCCTGGTGACTTTTGGAGGACAGACTTGCAGGGTGTCAGGGCCCTGCCCTTCTTGGCACTGGCGGCAGCACAGCCATCTCCCGGGGGGTCCCTGGAGGGCGTGGGCGGGAGAACAGAGGCGCGAGACAGCGACTCCTGCAGCAGAGAGTTCCGAGTGTAAAGGCTCAGATCCCACCCAAAGACGGCTGCGCCCCACACTCACCCCACACCTCAGTACCGAGTGGCGCTGCTGACGGGGTGAACAGATGAGCAAGTGAGCGAGCAGAGCCCTCGCATGCTACGCATTATCACAGGGACGTGAACAAGACGGGGCGTCACAGGAGAGAGCAGCAGCTTTCAAATTGGTTCAGGCTGGCCGAGGGCGCGCCTGCCTCAGATGTGGGGCGTCTCGGCAGCTGCAGACCAGAGGCTGGAGGCCCGGGCTCTGGCATCTGCCTCCCGCCCGAGCCATCTCTTTACGTCGCAGGGTTTCTGTTGCACAAGCGACACAAGCTTGTTTAAATAAGGGTAGAAAATTGACACATGGAAAGAGAATAAAATCAGCGGCCGTCCCTCCACCCGGAGATAACACTACAAACATCTTGACGTCTCTTTTCAGAATTACAAGATGTTTCCAGAAATCTTCACAAAAATGTAGGCATGAAAAAAAGAACAAAAAACTTTTTGTTTTTTGGGCACATAGCGTTTGGGAACTCGCTTCAACGCCCAGTGATCGGGCATGAGTGTCTGTGCCGGTCAAGGGGCCTCCCGCTCACGAGACAGAGACCTCAGAAACTGCCCTCGGCCACCGGGGACACCCACGGGGTAACAGAGAAGTGGGGAGCCCAGGGGAGGTCCTGGGGAACCACCACACTGTAAAGGACACCCTGACACTACATCTTTGCTCGGACCCTTCAAGAGTCTTCATTCTGCTAAATTAGGGTGAAACAGTGAGTGAGCCTCATAATCGGGGTGATTTTCAGGAAAATCACTGACTCAGCCACACTGTATTTGCTGCCTGGTAAAGCTCCTTCCTCTCACCTCGGAACCCTGAGCCCGGCTGTGCAGGACCCCCAAGGGCCCTGGAATTCCCACCCAGCCTTGCCCTGGTAGATGAACTAACGTCCTTATTCACCAAGCAAAAGTCTCACTTAAAATAGGGCTGATCCTAATTAAGACTCAGCAGGACGGCCCTTTTGGAAAGCAATCTGGGTTTACCTAAAAAACTAAAAATGGAAATAATGAATGCCCGAGACGGCTACTTCTGGGAAACATCAACTGGAAACCGTGTATCTTGCACGTTCATGGCAACCCTGTTTCCAGCAGTCACAGCATGGAAACCCTGAGTGCCCAGATGGAGACCCGGCTCCGCCAGTGCTCTGGGGCCAGCCCCGGTCAGTCCCAGGAAGGTAAAATACGGCCATTTCCACTGAAATGGAAGGAACCCGAGGGAATCGTGGGTAGCAAAGCAAGCCAGGAGGGCAGAGACAAGGCTGGGTGGTTGCACATGTGTGAGCAACATGAGGAAATAAGGCAAAGGAACTGACAAAGCAAAAAAAAAAAAAAAAAAAAAAGACCCTTTTGACAGGGTCAAAGGGGCACACGAGGTGGAGAAAGGGACGGAGGCAATCGGAGTGTCTGGATAAAGTAAAATCCAACGAGGACGGCGGCGTCAACTTGCTGCCGGCCTGGGAGTGCGGGGGGAGACTTTTGAGAGTGTGGGGGCGACGGGTCTGGCTGTCCCTTATTTATTCAGGCTTCTCCTCCCTCCCTCATCACCCCGCAGGGATCACAGATGTGCCCCCCTTTCTGGATTTGCAGGCCTCGCCAGATGGGGCTGCGTACCCAGCCGGGCTCAGCGTGGGCGTGACGTCCAGAATGACTGGGAGCTGGGAGACGTCTGGTCGGGGCAGGACCGCAGGAGCCATGGGAGCGACACGTGCAGGACTTACACCCTCACTTCCAGAAGGGGCCGTGCCAACATCAAGAGAGGAATTAGATCATCGTGCCCAGAGGCAGGGGGTGCGCCCTGGCACCCCACTAACAGCTGGGAGGAAGGAGGCACGTCCCCTCAGCCCTCCCAGGCAGGTGGCTGGAGGACAAGTTGACAGGTGCGACTCCATCAAGTCTGTGCAAACAGCAATACCGTTGTTGCCAAGTCCTCTGAGCAAGAAAAATATCTTCCTAGGCTCATAGAAGGAAGCAGAATTGCGCACCAATGAGGTATTTGTCTAGTGTAATTGAGTCACGACTATAGAATTTTACTTTTTCTTCCAGGAAAGGCCTGCGAGCAAAATACTGAGTCTGTTCTCAGTGACAAGTCCACCTGCCCACACCGACTCGGGGCCCAGAGGGTATGTTCAGCCCTGGGATGTGGCTGGACGGCTCCCTTTAGTCTCGGGAAATTGAAAGAAATATTTATGTATTAAAAGCACTTTCTCAAGAAAAATCCCACAGGGCGCTCAAGGTTTTCTGATGCTCCAGAGGACGTGCTGGAACACACATTTCGCTCCTCAGCAGAGAGCCAAGGCCCTCCTTTGTGTCGGGAAGCAGAGAGCCGCTGGCGTCCCGGCACGAGACAGTCCTCACCCTCAAGCTGCCTCCAGGCCGGGGGCAGAGGGAAACACTCCCTTTTACACATACCCCAACCCATGAGGTCCCTGGCCACGCCCCTGGCCTGTCCCCTGGCCCCCGCCCCACCGCCTGGAGACCTGGGCTCCTCTGACCCTTGAACCTGGGGTGCCTTTCCTGGCTCCCCACTCTCCGCTGCAGGGCCCCTACGCAGCCATCATCCCAGCTCCTGCAAGGCAAGGTGCCTGTGACCTGGGTGTGAATGAGGGTGATGGCGGGGTACGTGGCGCTGAGTCATTTCTGATATTATGACTGCACTTTTCACAGTTTGGGTAAGGAACAGGGAAAGCGTTCTCGGATTTCATACAATTTTGGAACCGAGTCAGAGCTTATTCAAGTCAACTTGACGTGAAGCAGGCACTGGGCCAGGCTGCGCCCCCAGCGCTGCCCCCCGACCTTTGTCCTGCCCCTCGGGCCCCTACCAGGCCCCAGAGGCCGCCTGTCACTCTGAGTACCCCACAGAGCAGCACCGGGTCTACCCACCGGCCGGAAGCCCTTGCCTGGGAGATGAGGCCAAACTTGTTTTCCTTTGTTCTTTAAGGCAGAGCCCCATGTTTTACTGTGAAAGTAATTATTTGTTTGTTTGTTTGTGTTATTTAGGGGAGTATCTTCAGGACCAATGGAACAGCGGGGCCGCAAGCCACCTTCACGCACCTCCCCCCCAGAGCCCCCTCCGACGAGGGACTGGAAGGCTTCTGCTCTGCTCAGGCGGCCGCAGCCCCGCTCTGGGCACGGGGCTCTGGGCCGCCAGCATGCAGCACCCAGTAGGAGCTTTATCCCGAGGACATCTCTGGCCTCCGGCCTCGGGGACCACTACAGTGAAGCCCTGTGGCATTTCCACAGCTCTCTGTGGGGTGCGGTATCCTTCCCTTCTGCACACCTTTCTTTATAAAATGCCCAAAGACGTGGGATGAATGATGTATTTTGTGCATCGTTTTTAAATGACGAGAGGGACACGCACCTTGTAAGCCCCGGGCTGGCTGCAGGTTGTGTCCCTGTGAATTTTAGTCCTCTGCGTGGCAGGCTGAGTTTCCTGCGCCTGTGTATCCTGCTCAAACAAAACTCCCGGGAAAGAACCGGGGTCACACCCACAGGAAAAGGCTTTGCCGCACCCGCGCGGGTGCTCCCAGCTGTGCAGGGTGAGAGGACCAAGTCTCCCCGCAGCCAAACTGAGGCGCGCTCGGGGAAACGCTTGCTGGGAGTTGCGTGGGGTGGGGGACCCTCTTACAGAAATAATCACACTTCATTTCTGTGGTTACTGAGTGAACCTCAAAACCCTTGATTTGGGGGGTATGTGGGGTTCCCCAAAGTGTGCCTGAGGGGACAGGCTTTGTCGCTCTGGTGTTTCATCACCCCCGAGGGGTCCGCCCCTGGCAGGGGAAGCAAGAGTTAACTCGGGAAGCTGCGGGATCGGGATCGACAGCGTCCAGTCCAGGGTGACCAGGGGGCGACCGCAGGCCCGGACAGGGCAGGAGCGAGCCCTGTTGTCCCCGCGCCGGGACAGGACGGAGAGGGAAAGGCGGTGGCAGCAGGCCCGGGAGGGAGGGCCGCCCTGGGTGCAGGCACAAGCAGGCGTTGAGTGAGCTTCTGTTGCAGGGTGGCGGCGGAGCCAGGGCGGCCATTCCCAGCGCCCTCAGCAGGGAGAGGCCACCTGAGAAGGGCTCCGGGAGCTTGTGGTGGGGGAGGCGGGAGACCCCCAGGCTCTGCCCCACGACAGTGAACACGCTCACCTCGCAGCCTCAGCCTTAGACCTGCCGCCTGACTGCCTCCTCCTGCCAGGCGGGCGCTGGCCGCTGAAGGAGAGGCCTCCTGCCTCTGAAAGGAGCCCGCGCTAGGGCCCCGCGGTGGGAGGTTGGGAGGTTGGGGAGGTGGCCTGCTGAGGGGGGTCCAGACCTGGGACTCTGCGGAGGGGAGCTGGCCAGGAAAGGGCGCAAGGCAGCCCAGGTTGGGGTGACTCTGGAAGGGAGGTCTCTAATGGAGAGACAAGTCGGGGGACCCGCAGAGCTTCCGCCCCGAGAGTGGTCGGTCGGGCTGCAGTGGGTGGGGCTGCGGGCTGCGGGGCGGCGGGAGGGGGGGGGCAGGCTGGGAGGGGAAGGGGGTGCAGTCTGCATGAAAGATGTTGGCAAAGGGCCCCCAGGGACCTAAACCCGGGGAGTCGGGGAGTCTGAACCCACGACATTAAGAGGGGCGCTGGTTCTGGGGGCGCTGGTCCTGGGGGGGCGCTGGTCCTGGGGGGCGCTGATCCTGGGGGGACAAGGTGGGGGCCGCGGTGCCAAAAAAAGTGGGAGGGCGGCAGGCAGAGGGTCGGCCTCAGGTGTCGGTGCCCGGCCCGGCGGCGGAGCGGACACCCCCCTTCGCCACGGAGCGGGTAGGCGGCCCGGGCACCCCGGCTCCCGCCCCCGACGGGGACGGCTCGGCGACGCGCCGCGGGCCGCCCCCTCCCCGCGCGGCTCTCCGGGCACCCGCCCCCGCGGGCGGGCCGAGGCGGCGGAGCGGGGCGCCGGCCGGGCGGGCCATGGCGCGGGGCGCGCGCGGGCGCTGCGGGCGCGGCGGGCGGGGCGCGCTGCTGGCCTGCGCCGCGTGGACGGCGGGCTGGGCGCTGGCGGCCGCGCTGCTGCTCCGCGCGCACCCGGCCGCGCTCTCCGCGCGCTGCACCGACGAGGGGAGCCGGCGCACCCTGGCCGCGCTGGTAGGTCCCGGGGGGAGGGCGCCCTGCGGCGCGGGCTGGGGCTGGGGGGCCCCACTCGCCGCGTGGGGTGCGGCCGCGCGCCCCGCTTTCCCGAATGGGGCTCTGCCCGGGTCCGCGGGGGCGCGCGCGCTCCGGTCCCGCCCGGTCGGTGCTGTCTGCCCCGCCGCCCCCGCGCCCTGACCTGGCCGTGCCGCGCTGCGGGGGGAAAGTTCGCGGGGCGCTCGACCTCCCGCTGCCCCTCGGGGCGGCCGCGTCCGAGCCGGGCGGGGCGGGGCGGGGCGGGCCCGGATGCGGGCGCGCGGCTGCGGGGCCCGTGGGGAGCGCGGCCGGCGGCCTCCCGGGCTCCCCTCCCCTGCCCGGCGGGTCCGGGACTCCCTCCCGGTGCCCCCAAGTCCAGCCTCAGGGGCGCGGGCGGCGGGACCCTGCGCGCCGGGCCCGGGGTGTGAGCGGAGGAGGCAGCGGAGACCAGTGGCCCGTCCCGGGGGAGGGGGCGACACGGCCGTGTCCACCCGGGGGGACGAGGGGGTCCCTCAGTTGGGCCCCGCCTTGGGGAGAAAAGAAACTCCCGGGTTCGCCGAGCGGCTGAGCTGGGCCGCAGCTGCCTGGGGGGATTCCAGGGGCGCCGCGGTGGGCCCTGAGGTCTCGCCACGGCCATGAGATTTGCGCCAAGGTGGGTTCCCTGGGGGAGCCGGGAGGGCCGGGAGAGCAGCCACTGCTGCTCAGGGGACTTTTAAGCGACTCTTCTAGCCTCGGGCAGCGCCGTCTCCGCGTTTGGTCTTAAAAGTGATCTGTTTTCTAAGAAATCCTCAAGAGACGCGTGGAAAGTTTTGGCTCCAATTGCTTGCACATGGGTGCGCCTGTCGGGACTGCAGGTTTTCCAAAGGTGGCGGCATCAGGGTTGAAAGGCATTTTTTTTTAGCTAATAAAAATGAGTGAAACATAGAAGCTAAACCCAATCACTTTTTCCCAATGAACTCGGACACCTGGCAACAAAACCGACCAGACTATCCGGCACTCAGCCCTGGCTCCTCCAGCCTGCCTCCCCCCCTGTCTGTCTGTCTGTCTGCCTGTCTTCTACCCCAGAGCAACCTGTCTGTCCGCTGGGCCACCGACATCCTGTCAGGTTTTCTTTATCTCGCAGAGCTCGTGGCCCTTCTCTGTGACGCATCTAAAAGTCCCTTTCACCAGTAAGGATTCGGGGAACTGATTTACCAACTGATTTACCAACTATATACAGCGATAAAAATTAACTTATTAACTATAGTAAATGATACTTACTTCCAGGATGGAACACCTGTTTACAAAACAATACAACAGTCTCCTAGATGAAAGAAGAATGGCCATTACTTTTCACTTGTTTACCATTGATTAAGTGGGAAAAGCCTAAAAAAATTAAATAGCCCAATGGAATTTAAATAATCCTCGTCATGACTCTCCCAGCACCCCAGGCCACAAGCGTGGGGACATCCTTGGTCTGACAGGGAGCTGGAGATGCGTGCTCTGCCTGTGACGGCTCTAACAGATCCTGTTGGCCAAAGACGCACCGGAACAGCCATGTCCGTCTGTCTGTCTGTCTGTCTGCCCCCTGTGTAAAGCTCATCTGATGTTGTCTCATCCAATGTTGCTGGGCGTGTCCTTTGGACACCCCTTTTGAGCTGTTCCTTCTCACTCAAGCTCAGGACATGATGTACCCCCACCCCCCATTCGGGTCTGCTCAGGGGCTCGCTCTTATCTAGTCTCCGAACTAGAAGGCGGCGTGACCACGGCCCTGCTGCCCAGCCCCGCCTGCTGGCCGAGATGCATGCAGGGCTGGCCCCTGGGCCTCAGCTGAATCGAGCCTCTGTCTCCCAGCTCCCCCAGCTCTTCTCAATTCATCCTGCCTGGCTTTCATCCCTCCTATAAAACGGGCTGTTATTTTTCTGACGGGCCTCCAGACTCATTAGCTTTCACACTGAATACGGAAGCACAGAGCACAATGGCAGCCCCCCCAAAAGGAGCCCTGGGCTCTGGTGGGGCTGGGGGAGGGGCGCTGGACACTTGCTAGCCTGCCCAGGCCCTCCAGCGGCCTCTGCCTCTGCGTGGCTGGCCCAGGCAGGGTCTGGGATGGAGCTGAGGAGCTGCTGAGGAGCTGGGAGTCAGCTCAGCAGGCACCTTCCCCCCCACAGTGGCCTGAGGTGCCCCCTTCCTCTGTGGAAGAGCCAGCTGGAATCGCTCCAGAAGTGGAGCCCTGGGACTCTAAGCTCTGGATTTTTCTAGCCAGACGATAGTGTTCTTCTTCACTAAGGTTTTCTGGCACATCCAGCAGCCTCACCCCTGTTTACCTGCCCTCGGCTTCTCTGGGGCTTCTAGCACCCCGCTTTTCCAGCAAACGCGACAGGAGGCTGTGCCAGCGGGCTGGGCACCCGCCGTGGGTGATCTGCGGCCTGGCGCCTGCTCTGCAGGCGGAGACATGGCGGCGCTTGCCAGCACTCAGCCGGGCGCCGTGCGAAGCAGCTGCCTCGAGCGCATCGTCTCCCAACACCGGTGGGGCACGTCCCTACTCTGCACATGGCGAAACCGAGCCCCAGAGGAAAATGCCGCTGCAGTGGCTGTGCCATGGCTGGGAGGGCCACGTTGCCCACAGCCGAGAGCCGAGGCGGCCAGGGGCTCTCCGCAGTGAAGACCATGAAGGGCTGCGGGGGGGTCATGGCCCTTCCCAGCAAGGCGCCTCAGAGCAGCACCAAAATATTCCCACAGACTCTGTTATGCCAAAGACTGAACTCCCCCTTGACTTGTTAGGTCTGATGAGATTCAATTTAGTGGCCTCCGCCGGGGCCATCCTTAGCAGGCAGGCTTATCTTTCTTTGCTGTGACAGAAGCCCAAGGAAGGCCCCATGGGACAGCAGCCGCCTGGGCTCACGCCTGGGACAGTTTCGTGTTTTCCTGAGGCTTTGGCCCTGTTGTGGTATGTGTCTCCGGGGTCCGAGGGCGAGGCCAAGGCTGCACAGGCTCAGGACTCGGAGGTTCCAGGCACACACCACACCAGGCCCGGCCTCTGCCCCTGACGTGAATGCTGCTGACCACCTAGGAACTTCCTGCTCCTTAAAAACAAAACGGAGGCACAGACACACGCCCAGCACCTGGGCCTGCCTCGGACCCCGGGGCGGGGTCTCAGGCCAGTTGGGCAGGCTTTGTGGTGGCCTGAGACCCCGACACAGCTGGAGTGTGACCTCCCCGGCACAGGGCGTGGGCCGTGCATGTGCTTTCCACGGGAGGGGCAGCCTCCCTGAGGTCACTCACTTAAGAGCACTGGTCAACGCCAGGACACTCCATCATGTGGAGTTTTTTCCAGTTGACTTTTAAAGACTTATTTTTATTTATTTATGCATACAAGAACTGGGGTGCAGGCTAGAGGTGTTGGGGTGAGAGGATTCACTGGAGGCAGAGTGGGGAGCAGAACAGGCAGATCTACTGAAATCCACTGCTGAGGGGAGCAGTGGGGAGACAGGAGAGGTCTGCTGCGCCCTGTGGGTAGCTCCCTGGTCGGGGATCGAGCTTCTGCTGCAGCGGCTGCTGGTAGCTTGATAGTGCTGAGACTAACGCCTGCACCACCAGGGAGGCCCCCAGTTAATTTTTAGATCTGACCCCTGTGGGTTTTGGACACACGTGTGCAGATACACACAGGGGCCGGTCTCCCAGCTGGAGGCAAGGACTGCCCCTCAGTCAGAGAAAAGCCTGATCTTACACGCGAAGTTAAAGTAGTTAAAAAAATTGCTGCTTCACCCGGACATGCTGCTGCTGAAATGGTCTCACTGTTGTCTCAGGTGATGGCTGCTCATTACTCTGCAAACCTGTTACTTGTACTTCGAGGTCACCGACATTTAGATGCCAGATTAACGCATCCTGCAAACACGTCCCACCACCAGCTGATTTTATATCTGCCTGCCCCTACGCCTCAGCGCATGCTTTGCTTACTGTAAACTCCTCTGACGCATGAGGTCAGGTTAGAGACCTGTGGTAGCTGGTGAGCCCAGTTGGGGTTCAGGGGCCCCCACCCACGCTGCTTCCCCTGTTCCCCACCGTACCCCAGCAGGGGGCCAGCTGTGTAGGAGACACGTGCACCTCAATGTGCTGACCTGCAGCAAAAACCAGCCAGAATTAATGTTCTCCTGCAAATCGATGGACTCACGCCCAATGCAGCAACGAGGTCATTGGTCAGAACATCTTGCAGGCCCCGTCTGGAACTCCCTCCCGTCTGCAGGGCAGGGCTGTGCGGCTTTCGACCTGACTGCAGCTCCTGCAGATTTTCAGAAAATGCTGCGCCGGGGAGGGGGTGGGATGCGTTTTTTAATGAGTGCTGAGGACAGAGGCGGGGCCTGCCCCAGGTGCTGGCTTCTTCCAGGGAGGCGAGGCTGATTGGGGACCTGGCATTTTGAGGGTGCTCTGAGTCTGCTCCTCGCGCCCGCCCTCCTTGGTTCTCCAGGGCCCTCGGGCCCCTTGGCCACTCAGATCTCCGCACAGGTTTCCCTGCCCTCGCCCGCTGCCTGCCAGGCCGACTTGTAATTGTCTTTCAGAACTGAGTTCAGGCACCTCCATCCACCAGCCAGAGGACACCCCGGACCGTGTCTGTCCTGGTCGCCCCCTTTCATCCTCACTTACCTTCCGAGAGAGTCCTGAGCCTCAGGGCCGGCTGTCAGGTGCCGTTTCTTACAGGGGCAGGCGGCTGGAGGCGATGAATCGAGGGGGCCTTGGCCTGACCCTTCCCACGTTCATGTCATGACCCCAGGCCTGGAGGGAGACCCCCGGGTTAAAAGTGAAAGGACTCAAAGGTCAGCATCTTACCGAAATGATGTCACCTCAAAGTGCCAGATGGACACAGCCCCAGCATGTTTAAAACAGGGGTGTGGGGGCCTATTATGCACCTTCATCAGATACAAAGCACCCCAGGTGGACAGTGGGGGGGCCTCCTGCACCCAGGGCCAGACTCCTGGCTCCGTCAGGGACTATTTCTTTTAAATAAGCCTTTTGGAAACCCTCGCCTGGAAGGTCAGCCTTGGCCACTTGTCATGGTCCGAAACCCCAAACCTAATGCTTTAGGGTCAGGGGTGTTTGGGAACCGCACTTTCTGGGGTGTTACGAGGCTAACACAACACACGTACTTTGCATTTTGCATGTGAGGCAGATCCAGTAATCAAACAAATTAATAATTCTGCAGCAAAATGTATGCAAATTCACTGAGTCAGTGCTCGGCTCGCAGACTATAAATAGCTGCTACCTTCCTTCTGCTTGACACCACAGGAGGCCAAAGGAGACTGAAAACTTGTAGTTTTAAGAGCATTTAGGGTTTTGGAATCACTCCTGTTTGCAGACGTTGGAGGGACATTTTCTGACTGCAGGGAGCAGTTCGAGTAGCCCTGGGCTTAGTAAGGCTGACCGGCAGGGACCAGCTGAGCAGTGGACATGGCTGCCGGCACGCCTGCCCGTGCGGGGCGGCTGATGAGGCTCCGCACACTCTCCCCTCTCAGCCTGGCCCTCGCGTGCGAGACGGGAAGGGAGTGGAGGGAGCGGGCGGGTGACCCCACGCAGGTCCACTCTCCGGCCCTGGCCCAGAATTTGCCCTCGCCCCACACCGTAGACCCGCTGGCTGTGTGAGGACAGTTGTGTTAACATGGTGGGGTCCAGAGACAGCTGTGGCCTCATGCCATCTGCCTGCCCAGTAGGACCAGGGGACCCTCGGGCTCTCGTCCTGGAGGGAAGAGAGCCGAGTGTGCTGACGGGGGCCTGGGGGGCTAGAAAGGATGCGTGGCCGCTACTGAAAATGGGCCAAGAGTGATGACCCCCCCATAACTCCCTTTCACTCCGTTCCACAACCCCCTTCCCAGTCCGCAGGACTATCTTAGAGGCGTTGGTTGCGTGCTGGGGGTGGCCCAGTCCTTCCGTGAGGCGCTCGCCCCACAGGCCCCCACTTGGGGCTCCGAGAGGACAACAGCACCACCAAAGCCCAAGTACCCCACCTCTTCTGGAATTTACTCACGGGCCTGTTCCTGTCACCCCCCCCCCAGTCCTGCTGACGCTGCCAGGTCCTGTGCCCTGCGTTCCCCTGGGCCCCTGAAAGACCCTGAGAGCTGCTGCCCTTTCTGGCCATGCTGCTCGGTCAAGGGTGGGGTGCAGGGCACAAGCTTGCCGAGATCGTCATGCGGTCGTGACCGGGGCTGTCACTGGACTATCACCGTGGTGGTCACGCGGTCAGCGCAGTGCTGGGGTGGGGGGCATCAAAGTGGGCAGATGCGGCCTCCTGGGCCCCACCTCCAGGGAGCTCCCCTTGCGGTTCTTGCATGGGGGCGTTGGGGGTGACCCTCATGTGTGGCCAGAGTGAGAACTAAGGGCCCACCGGCCCTGTCACTGAACCCCGCTGGACAGAGCCTGTTCCCAGCCCGTGTCACGTGGCCGGATGGTGGGGTGCCCTTCTGCCCGCCCCGATTTGAGCCTGGTCTGGGTCTGGGGGGGACTTGCCGAGGGGCTCCTGGCCCGTGGGGCGCACACCGGCCGGCTGCTCTCCGGGCCCCGTCCTTGCCCCTGCGCATCGCCCTGTCCCTCCTTCCAGTGCCGGGACTACCGCGCGGGCGCGCTGGCGGGCGAGCTGTGCGAGGACCTGTGCGTGGCGGGGACGCTGCTGTACCGGCGCTGCCTCCACTACGACAGAGGCAAGAAGGTGCTGCAGGCTGACTGGCGTGGCCGGCCCGTCGTGCTCAAGTCCAAGGAGGAGGCCTTCTCCCGCTTCCAGCCCCTCGGCCCTCTGGGGGCTGCCGCCGACGAGGAGGGGGGCCCGGAGCTCCCGGAGGCCGAGCTCCTCCTGCTGCTGGCCGGGGAGGTCCGGAACGCCCTGGGCCTGGAGCTGGCCAACGGCAGCCTGGGGCCGCTGTGGCCGGCAGGGTGGTGGGGCCAGCGGCGGCGGGGCCAGCTGGCCAGCCTGTGGGCCCTGGTCCAGCAGGAGGAGTTTGTGCTGTTCAGCCTCCTGCAGGGCCTCAGCCGCCACGCCCTGCCCGTGCTGGGCTCCTGCGGCCACTTCTACGCCGTGGAGTACCTGGCGGCCGGCAGCCCCCACCATCGGGCCCTGTTCCCCCTGGACCAGGCTGCGGGTGCCCCCCGGGGAGGCCGGGGCCAGGCCAAGGCCGTCAGTGACATGGCCCTCAGCTTCTTGGACATGGTGAGCCACTTCGACAACGACTTCTCCCATCGCCTCCACCTGTGTGACGTCAAGCCCGAGAACTTTGCCATCAGGAGCGACCTCACGGTGAGTCTGGGGCGGCCTCGGGGAGTGCCCGGCAGAGCCCTTGGGTAGCGCCATCTAGGCCTTGGTGACAACTGCCCTTGGCGACCCCTGGCCTCTGGCTGGCCGACCTGTCCACTCCTCCCTTTCAGGTTAATGTTATCCCCCCCACAAGAATGGGGCCACGTGGAGGCGCCAGCTGCAGCAGCGCAGGCCAGTGGGACTGGTCTCCCTCAGGCCCTGTGGGCCCTGCTTAGTGTGTGTAGGGGCAGGAATGGGCACAGTGCAGGATTTCTATGATCCAGCAGACCGGGTAAAGGAGGAGTCCGAGTCCTCAGTGGTTTTGCAGGTTTTTATTGGTGTTTACCAGGTACACGGCAGGCAGGGGTGCTGGGGGGCCAGGAGGCTGGCAGGCCTCCCAGCCCCCAGCAGGTCTTCACTCTGGGCTCTCCGGCCTTCTCTCGGCTTCTGCTTCTCTCTCAGCTTCTCTTTCGGCTGCTGCTGGCGTCCCCGTGACGCCGCCCTTAAAAGCCCAGTCTCAGCCCAGGTGAATCCCATCTCCCTAGGCCCACACCCCACTCCAGGTGCCGCCATCAGGCCGGCATTCAGGACCGCAAGGATCCATCATCTATCCTGATGGCGGGAGGGCAGAAGAGCCTGACATTTTTCCTTACCCTACAGGTGGGAACTGCAGAGGGGGCCTGTGGGGGCATGTTTGTACAGTGGCCCCCTGGTGACCCCGTCTGCAAAATGCCCATCTGTCCGCTAACATGCAGCTTGTCCTGTTGCTTCCAGGAGTAGACGTTCCCTAGCCTTGATTTTCATTATTATCCACGTATTTTGAAATAAATGATTTTCTCCCCTGACTTGCCAGCAACCGCCAAGCAATGGACCACCTCGGCTGCGTCCGAACCCAAGACAGCGCCGGGCCCAGGGGGTGCTGGTGGCAGGCGGGAGGGGTGCGGGCAGGAGGCCTGCGTGGAGGGGCCGGCTTGTGAGACCCAGGCCCTCAGCCTCCCACGCCCTGACTCCCAGGGTCCCGGGCCGGCCGCGGGGTTTGGGCCGACTCCAGCTTCCCGCAGCTTTCAGTTCAGCGCGTCTTCTTTAAGTTCAGGTGGAGGAAATCTGCATAAATTACATGCTATTCTTTCTCTGTTTTGGAGCCTATTTGGTTGGGAGCCAGGAAGATAAATCTGAGATTCCGGGGGCGTCCTGCTGACATGGGCTCCAGCAGCTGGGGCTGGGGGGCCGGGGCCTGTGTCTGGCCCCTCCAGTTTGAGAACTTTGACTCAGCTACACTGCCCCTCGCCCCCACGTTCCTGCCTAACTGATGGGAACCAGTGGGCTCAGGTGACGGCCTATGGGTGGAGACCACTGGGGTGCTGCCACCCCCTCTTACCCTCTTACCCACCCACCCTAGACCTGCCGCCGGGGCCGGGGTCAGGCCTCTGAATCATTCATTTCCAGGACATGCCAGGCCACTTCTAAAGCCGGGAAAATGTGCAAGGCTGGAAAGTGATCCTTGAGTTACAGCCCAAATGCTGGGCTCCGTCCCCAGGCCCTTCCTGGTGACAGCGGGCTGTGTGGTCAGTGCCAGCTGATGGTGTGGAGGGGGGACCCTGCACGGGCTGCCCAGTACCGGGCCAGCCACCGCAGCCCACAGCCTGGACGGCCACACCTCGGGACCGGGACGCCAGCTCTGTGCTCAGCGCTCAGTGTCCTTCTGATTCCAGGTGGTGGCTATTGACGTGGACATGGCCTTCTTTGAACCTAAAATGAGGGAAATTCTTGAGCAGAACTGCACGGGAGATGAGGACTGCAACTTCTTTGACTGTTTTTCAAAGTGTGACTTGAGAGTCAACAAGTGCGGGGCCCAGCGAGTCAACAGCAACCTGCAGGTGAGCGGGCGGGGCTGGGAGAGGTGTGCATGGGGGTGGGGTGGGAGGGGAGCAGTTCTGCTGGGGGGGGTTGTCTGGGGGTCCTCCACCCTAGGTTGCTGTCCTTAATATATAGAGTTCTTGCAGAGCCATTAAGAGTCAAGAACACACACACACACACACACACACACACACACACCTGGCAAGATAAGAACATGTAACAAATATCTAAAAGACAAAATCCAGATGGTCAAAGAACCTGGAAAATTACTTAATTTTCTTATTCAAAGATGTGCAGGTTAAAATACAATGAATAAATTTTCATGTATGATGACTGGGAATAGTTCTTAAAATACTATTAATTAGGAAAATAGACTCATGTCTATTTTGTAATTTCTGCATTCTCTGGGGGCACACGCTGTAGCAGAGCAATTCCATTTGCTCACAGGTCTGAGTATTATCTTTGAATAAAGTCCTAAAAATGAAATCAGACTTTCTTTAGCAATATGAGAAAAAAAGAGAAAAAAATGAAGCATACTCTAATGACAGAAGCGCAGGTTACAAATCTCTCTTGCGACCTGACTCCGTTTTGGTACTAGGGCGTGGAGGGAGACATACATATGAAAATGTCAAAAGCAACTACTTGTGGAAGATGGAATTACAGATAATTTTTGTTTTCTTCTTCTTTTCTGTATTTTATCAGCTCTCTATAGTGTCCGTGTTTGTTTTTTTCCATAATGACCGGTGCTGGAAGCGGGGTGAGGGGCGCACCACATGATCAGATTGACTCATTTCACCTCACATCGACCCAAATTCCAGATGGTTCCAACATTCGCACATAAAACACAGACCCCTCAATGCAGCGAAACAAACTGGGGAGCTGAAAACCTTCCAGAGTCAGGACGGCTTTTCTCAGGGGGATCAAAGCTCAGAGGCCATGAAGAGGAACAACTGACAGATTTAATTAGCATTTTTTAAAAAACCACATGGCAAAGCCAAAATAAAACAAAATTACAAAACCCAAACCCACAGCAAGCTTGACAGTTAAAGAGAGAATTGGCAAAATGCTTGCAGCTCCTTTTACAGAGCCGGGCGTGGAGGGTGAGTGGGCCCTTCTGGCAGCTGCCAAGGCTCAGGTGTCCCCCCATTGCCCTTGGTCCCTCAGATCTGCTTCTCCACGGTTACCCCACTTCCCTGGGGCAGCATCTGGAGATTGGTCCCGGGAGATGGGGGGACCATGCTCACCACCCTGGCCTCAATGAGGAGCAACTCTGCGGAGCCATTGCAGCCCCAGAAGTCTACCTTGCCCCTCCGTTCCCAAGAACACCTCTCAGCACACACCTGCATGCACACCTCCACCGTAGAGTCTGCTTCCCAGGAACCGACCCAAGCCAGGGCCCAACGTCCTTAAGATAGAAAGAACATCTACAAATAAATATGTAAAAGTCCCACCTTATGGAGATCAGCAAAAGCTATTACATTAGCCATTCACTGGAAAAGAAGTGCCCATAATTTCTACTTGACCAGTCTTGACACACGTGGCCCAAGCAAATTAAGCCATTTCCACCCATCCTTGAGCAGAGACGAGCGATAACCCCAGTGTTGGCCAGGGCACGGGGGACAGACCTCCTGCGTGCGGCTGCTGGGGTGTAAACTGGTACAGCTTTTTGGGGGTCCATTTGGAATATTCATCAAAGCAAATTCACATACCCCTTGACCCAGAAATTGCATTTCTAGAAATGTAGTCACATGCACAACCTGAAAATGACCTCCCCGCTCGCTCTTGATCCCAGCGTTGCTCATAATGCAGCGGCGTGAACCACCTACATTTCTGTCAGTAGGAACTGGCTAAATGACTTCCTGCGTCACCCGTGGGAGATGCCGCCTTGAAAGCAAGGGGAATTCCCTGTGAACTGATTTGGAGGGTCCCCGTGGCGAGGGGTGGTGGGGTGTGAGGCTCTGGGACAGCATGGCGGGACACTGCTGTCCGTGCGTGGGTCAGCTGTGCTGGTGTCCACTGTGTGCAGAAGGACATTCCAGGGGGAGGCGCCGCTCTCGGAGCTGGGAGCTGAGTGTTCGGACGGTCGGGACTGGAGGGAGACTAAGTCTCTCTTTGGGGCCATTTCAGATTTTCGCACATGGAATGTACTCTCTGTTCAGAAAACCGCCCAAAGGTGACAGTTTTTAAGACTCCTCACCCTTGCCGGGGCGGGGCCTGGGAGTTAGAGTGACTTGTGCTCCCTGAAGCAGGAGCTCCGTAAAACCCGGGCGTCTGGGAGTCACAAGGGAGAGGGTAACGCTACGTCTGGCGCTGTTAAGGAGGCCTCTCTCCCGCCAGGCCCCAGAGGAGGAAACGACGCAAGCGTAAAAGCAGCAGCGTGTTTACACAGAGGGTCTCAAGAGCTCTTCAGCGCCCCTGACTTTCATGCCCTGTTAGAATCCAAGTCTGTGAGATGGTGGCTTAATTCTTACTTCGCTTCTTTAAGTAAAACACTTCAGAGCGCGCACGGGGCCTCGGGTCATGGATGGTGTCTTGTCACGGCCTCCGGCACCGCGTGCTCACGGCCAGCGCTTCACCAACCTGCCCTCTCGACGACCGGGTCTGTTAACCAGCCCGCAGACCAGCGCCACCTCCGCCAAGCCCGTGACCGCTGGGGCTCTGGGACGCAGCCCTGGCCACCCTCAGGCCTGGGAGGGCCGCTCCTCACCGGCAGCTACTGCCTGTGGCTTGCTCGAGTGTTTGAGGAGCCACCAGGACCTTCTGCGCCCCCAAGGCTGGGTGGGGTGTCCCCTGCAAGGCAGAGGGCGGGCGCGGGGAGCCAGGGCCGGGCGGCCAGCAGCAGGCTTGGGAGGCTCTCGGGGCTGGTTCGCCCCCCAAGGAACCACTTGCTCTCTCCTGTCAGGTCATCTGCGACAAGATCTTCCGACACTGGTTTTCCTCGACCCCCCGGAGAGCGGCCATCTCCTTCCCGCTCCAGCGGCAGCTGCGGGAGGCTGTGCAGGAGTGTGCAGACCCAGGGGTTCCCTCTGGGAGCACCCAGATAGCGGCCCCCGGCGTGTTCTGGAAGCTTCAGCGCCTCCTCCGGGCAACGCGGAGGGAGCTGCAGGGGGCAGAGAAGTAGCCACTGCTGGGCTGGGCGCTCACCAGAGGTGGCCCCGGCCTGTCTGAGTGGCAAAGGGGAGATGTCCACTGTGCAAACGAGTGACGGCTCGGTCGCGGGGGGCCCTGGGCAGTGGAATGGCTGGACGCTGCTCTGTCCCTGGTCAGCTGCCCTGGGGTGCACCTCCCTCCCCCATCCTGGCTTCATTCCTCTTGTTTGAAAGACAGTCCTGACCTCTGACCTGTCACCCTATGAAAAAGACTTGGGGGGGCTCAGAGAGGTTTGCCTTGGAGCCCTCGGCCGGCAAACAGCACCGATGCCACTGGCACTCTCCGTGACCCGCGCTGCCCGAGCCTCCCGTCTCCCCGCAAACCACCAGCACGTTTAGACTGCTCTTGGGTGGGCATGACGAGGTGAGTGTGTGCGCGTGCTGGCGGGCACAGGCGAGCGTGTGGCCACAGGTGTGCAAGTGGGGGAGCGGTCCGGGCGAGTGTGCAAGCGCACGCGTGCCGCCTGCCCTGGGAGCGAGTGGGTGTGCGGGGTGTGCGTGCTGTGGGGCGGGGAGAGCTTCCTCCGGCGCCGGGCGCTCCCTGTCTCTCGGAATTAAACGCAATAAACCAAGTCTCCTCTCCTGGGGCGACGCGTGTTCTGGGGCGCCTGTGTGAGGACTAAGGAGGGGTTTTCATTTTTGAGGACACCATCGACTTTATGGGCTGTGTTTGGGGCCCTTTGCTCTCGGCACAGCACCCTCGTGGGGACCAGGGAGCTGGGGGCTGCGTGTCTCCCCTGGAGACGTAACAGCGTGAGGCGGGCAGGAGCCGGCGCCGGAGGCGGACGGCGGGCTCTGGACCGGGCGGGTTTGCTCATCCCTGGGGCCCCCGGAGAAGCCTTCCTGGAGGAGACAAACGCTAGGCCGCCTGGTGGTCACCCCACAGACGGGCAGCCGGGCCAGCCAGGCGCCCTCCCGTCGGAACTCGGTTCTGGCCGCGTCGGGGGCAGCAGGCGCAGAAGGCCCCGAGCAGCTGGAGGACGGCACCGCGGCCGCCCCCTGACCCACAGGACGCACCCACCTCAAGTTGTGAAGAGTCGCAAGTGGACACAAGTGCCAAGCCACCTCTGCCCTCACCTGCCCCTTCCGGTGGGGCTGGAGGGAAAGCCGCGCCTCGCCTTGAGGCGAAAGTGATTCCGGCTGGATTCTGCGCGAGGGCCTGGTCGGTGGGTCTGAAACAAGAGAGAACTGGCTTTGTCTCCCGACCACCCCCCCCCAACTCACACACACACACACACACACACACACACACACACACACACACACGGGCTGCACACGGTGGGGTCTCTGGGCCTCGGCCCCCCTGCTCAGGGCCTGGGAGCAGGACCTTTCCAGGAAGACACTGGGCCCGGGGCGCCCGGGGCGGGACGGGGCCTGCTGTGGGCCGAGCCCCTCGGCCTGCTGGGTCTCGCTTGGACCCGGGTCAGAGCCCTCAGCAGGCCGAGTGGTAGCAAGTCTGGCTCAGGAAAGGGAAAAGGCTCATTTTCATTTAGAACCAAAATGGAAATGAATGTTTTTGCTCCTTGTGGCGACTGTGCAACATGTAATTACCGGCGCAGCGTGTTTTCATTGCTGGAAAGGAGTGGCTCTCTCCCCGCGGGCCTGACCACGGCTAGCCCGCCCCACGCCCACGCCGTTCCCATCCTGCTGGGGAATCCCCTAGACTGTCTCTGAAAGTTCGGGTTTTTTTCTTTTTTTTTAAGATTTATTTATTTATGCACACAAGAGCTGGGGTATAGGCCGGAGATGCGGGGGTGAGAGGATTCACCAGGGACAGAGTGGGGAGCAGAACAGGCAGACTGACGAAACACACTGCTGAGGGGAGCAGCGGGCGAGACAGGAGAGGTCTGCCGCGCCATGTGGGTTGCTCCTTGGCCGGCTGGGGATCGAACTCGTGCAGCAGAGGCTGCGGATTGCTTCATAGTGCTGTGCTTAACCCTTTGCGCCACCAGGGAGGCCTTTATTTTTATTTTTCAAACCCTTGGAAAATACTTCTACCTAACTGTAGTGGCAGGAAGAGACGGAGCAGGATCTCTATGATTTAAGCAGACGGTGAAAGAGGAGTCCTGGAGCCCTCACTGGCTTTTTGCAGGTCTTTTATTGGGATTTACCTGGTACATGGCAGGCAAGGGTGCCGGGGGGCCGGGAGGCGGGCAGGCCTCCCAGCCCCCAGCAAGTCTTCACTCTTCCGGGGCTCTCTGGCCTTCTCTGGTGGCCTCTGCTTCTCTCTCTTCTGCTTCTGCTGTTCTTCTTTCGTTCTCTGCTCTTCCGCTGGCATCCCTGCAACGCCACCCTTATAAACCCAGTCTTAGCCCAGGTGTATCCCACTTATGTGTGCCCACCCCACAGTCCCGGTGCTGCCACCAGGCATGCATTCAGGACCACAGATCCATCATCAGTCCCAATGGCGGGAGGGCAGAAAAGCCTGATACGTGACTTCCTCTACACTAACATAACATGCAAGCACTGTGCATGTCAGCATTTTTTTTTTTTAAAGATTTATTTATTTATTTATTTATACAAGCACTGGGTACAGTCAGAGGCGCGGGAGGGTGAGAGAATTCACCAGAGCCAGAGCGGGGAGCAGAGCAGGCAGAAGGACCGAAGTACACTGCTGAGGGGAGCAGCGGGCGGCAGGAGAGGTCTGCGCGCCATGCGGGACCCTCCTCTGGTGGCCGGGGAGCAGCCGGGGATCGAACCGGCTCTGCAGAGGCTGCGGGCAGCTTCGCAACCCAGCGCTCAACTGCTGCGCCACCGGAAGGCCCAGCATTTAATATTTTTAATGTGGCAAGTGGGAGTCTTTCTCGCTTACCTAACTGAGCCCGACCTGAATGGCTACTAGGCTGTGTCCTAACTGCAGGCTTAGTGGACAGAGCTCTCGAAGATGCCGACGGGGACTGAAGAGGTGAGGATGCATGAGCAAAGCACACACAGGCTATTTTTTTTTTTTTTTAAGATTTATTTATTTATTTATACAAGCACAGGGTACAGTCAGAAGCGCGGGAGGGTGAGAGAATTCACCAGAGCCAGAGCGGGGAGCAGAGCAGGCAGAAGGACCGAAGTACACTGCTGAGGGGAGCAGCGGGTGGCAGGAGAGGTCTGCGCACCATGTGGGACCCTCCTCGGTGGCCAGGGAGCAGCCGGGGATCGAACCGGCGCCGCAGAGGCCGCGGGCAGCTTCGCAACCCAGCGCTCAACCGCTGCGCCATCCGGGAGGCCCACACACAGGCTATTTTTTAAAAGTTTTATCCAAATTACAGCCAGCAATGGTTTCCGATCGCCAATCCTTCATCAGCCAATTTCCACAATTTGTCTTGATAAATTATAGTTATAATTATATTTCAATGAAATGGCCTTGATTTTGTGCCCTGTTGGATTACAGCTGACCATCTACACCGAACTGTAGGCACAGGCCCTGTTACTGACCACGTGACCCCTGAGCTGGTCACCGGGGCAGAATCATGAAGCCACCAATGTTTCTAAACCCGCCCCTCAATTCTCATCACAGTTAGTAGTAAGCAGTTTACAGATGCTCCTCCTCCAAGCAGTCCTCCAGGCTTGCCTCCTCTGGGTCCCCTCACAGTCATCCAGAACACCCAGGAAGAACACCCAAGACAGTCACTGAAATTTTTGGAAGGGCAGCTGGTTTTAAAAGTTGACTTGGGAGCTGTCTTTAAGCATTTGGGGTTGGGGGAGTCTCTGAACAAGGACATGCGGATGCTCTTCTGTGTGTTCTGCGCCGACACCTGCTGCTGGTGAGCAGATGTCTCTCTGGTTCTTCCACATCAGTCAGGGCCAGAAGTGGGAGGATCCCTCACCTGCCCTCACCCTCGCCGTGGCCTTTAGACACTGTCAGTGTCAAGATTAAAGCGGACGGATCGTACTCATTTTTGTTGAAAGAGATTACCTCTGGGAGTGCATTTCCTAAGCTGTGAAGCTGGGAGCATCACCTGCTCGTCGGTTGTGGGGGGTTCACCGAGCCCCCACTGTGCGGGGCCTGGTGTCTGCAGCTGGAGAGCACAGCCGGGACTGGGCCCGGCTCTCCCGTGTCATGGGGGGTCTCGCAGCTGCGTGGTCCACTCCCGGGGTGAACCGCCTGTGCCTCTCCCTTGCTCGGTTTTCACTGGGCTCCTTTGCTCCGCAGCCGTCTCTCCCGTGTCTGAGCGTGAGCGCTGAGCTCTGCCTGCAGCGCTTCTCCCCGACAGCTCCACTGGCTGGTGTAGTGACCCTGGGCAAGACGCTTCACTCTGGGCCTCAGCTCCCTTCCCCCCACGCCACCGCCTCTCCTCTGTCCCTGCAGGCCTGTGAGGACACAGGCCGAGGCGGCCGCGGCAGACAGCGGGCTGCCCAGCATTTTGATCTTGGGCGTTTAGCCGCCGGAACCGTGAGGAGTGTTTGCTGCCCAGAAACCGCCCGCCTGTGACTGTGATGCTGTCACAGCTTCGGCAAGAGCCCGTGTGCGGCCGGCAGCAGTGAGAGCTGGCACCTGGACGTGACTCCGCAGGGGAGGCCGCACCTGGGCTGCCGCTGGCACGGAACAGGTCTCCACGGCCCTGGAGGCCCCGCAGCGAGCCCCGGCCACCCAGGCAGCCCCATCTCGGCAGGGCCAGCGGACACGCATCCCGTGGAGCCCCCCCACTGCCCAAAGAGGCTCCAGGGCTGCTCCCCAGTCCCCGCCGGCTCCGCCCAGTACAGGAATCAGGGCCTCCACTGCTGGGGCTGCAGCCCGGGACCTGAGAGCTGCTGCCCTGGGCCTGTCCCTCACGTCACACGTAACCACAGAGTCCACTTCCCTGGTCCTCGGGAGCCCAGGGCCTGGGCTTGGGGTGTGACAGCCACAGCGAGTCCTTCCCACAGCTGCTCCCGAGTCGTGGGACCACTTTTAGAGTCAAACATCCATCAAACATTTTTTCTATCAAACATCATCTCTAGATTAAACAGAGGCTTGCTGAGCAATCACTCTTGCCCAATACACAGGAGGCGCGGATTCTGCTTTTGCTGTTTCAATTCCTGCTCTTCCTTTAGTCGGGGATCACCGGTGAGCCCACCTGAGAACTTGGTTAACACCCCTGAAGATGGTTCCAGCACCGTTTGACCTGGGTGCCCCTCCCTGGGCCAGCGGCCACTCACCGGTGGTCAGAGGCGTTGCCACCCAGGCCTCCGGAGACCCCCAGAGCAGAGGGAGTGATCCTGTAGTTGGGCTGCTCCTCCCAGCAGCTCCCCCGCCCCCAGCTCGTGGCAAGGACAGCAAACATGCTGTTGAAAGAGGGGGTGCTATAGCAGGGTTGTAGCCGGTCAAAGGACAGTGCCCAGCAGAGGACAGGCAGCTCTCTGGGGGCTGTTCACCTGCGTGCACAGCTGCAAGACTCCTCAGCTCAGGGGACAACACCAATGGGGATTTAACAAGCAGAGAATCAGAGATTCTAAGGCCACAAGACAGTGCCC